AGCATGCTAGCCTGAGGCGTTTTTTATAGTCCAGTGGACCAGGCTTGACTTTGACCATTTGATATGTTTTTTTTTTTTAGACTTGATTTGATTTTTTACCGCATTTACAGTGTAAAAAAAGTTCTACCGTCTATGTTCATGCTTTTGATTTACAGATCTCCACAAATTAGGTTAGAGTCAGCAACCTCAGCGAAATAGTAATGGTCCATTTACTGAGCTGTGACCAGTGACCTGACTGTTATATGTTGAGTATAGTACTAAAGCATTATTAATGACCTGTGACTCATTCATTGTCGCTTTAGTGGTTCTGTCAGACACACATACACACTCTATGGTGTCAGTAATATGGCTGATATTTCTTGGATATTCCAGAATCCATAAAAATGCTGATGGACATTACACACAGCACATATTGTACACACATTGAATGAACCAAATGATTCGAAAAAAGATTTGTTCATTTCATTATTCCCCTTTTCACAAGATGTAATAGATGTAAAGACGGCTGATCCTTTACACAAGCTTCGGAAACTCAACAATAACAAAACACAATCCAAATAATTTCACTCATCCAAAATCTCAGAAATAACCAGTAGTGGAGTGCAACCTTACAGAGAGACTCGGGAAGCAACTTTTAGACGCACCTGGACGTTTCTGAAAGGTTAGTGGATATATTTATGTAGTTGTTGTGGAGTTGCATTGATTCATGTTAAATTTTTACGCGAGTTGACACAGCTGAGGTCTTTATAAGACAGCTGTGACTTTTTTTGGTCAAATAAGTTCTGTGCTCGTCTGTGCAGCCAACGACAGAACAGTTTGCATGCTTTGCTCAAACTTTTGCCATTGCATTAGAACTGGTTACACCGTTGTCACTCGCGAAACCAAACCGTGGGTGGAAACGGGCAGATTAAGGGGTGGTAATATTATAATTAGATCCCTTTCCTAAGTCAGAAGGGGAGTGAAATCTGGTTGGCCAATTTTTTGACATGCCTGAGAGAAAATCTTACCACAATAAAGTTAATGGGTTGTCACTTTTCATGTTTTCTGGGTTGGTAGATGCACTGGGGACCTGATTATAGCACTTAAAAAAAAAACGTTTAGTCCCGTAATTAAGACAGCCCTAGTATAATTTAGTTTGGGACCATTGAAGAATTGTTGAATTGAAGAAAATACTAATAATTTTTTTGTTGGTCTTCACAGGTAGCCTAAAAGAAGACCACATGTTGTAGTGATTTGTAATGACTTTAGTTCAATACGCCTTCTGCTCTTCCTGGGTTTTAATGAAACCTGTTCAATCCCGTCACTGCAGCCCACTAACCCTTTTTGTATTCACCGATATGCTTCTGGGGAGAGGATTTGCATCTTTATTTTCCATTTTGTTTATCTTTTTTTTCTTGTTCCGTTTCCCTTGTTACGTCTGCAACAACAAGCAGATTAGCTGTGGCTGGCAAATATTTTCTCAATTTTCTTTTAAGAAAAATTCCAGGCGGTTTGCTTTGCAAAGTCTGTAATCTTCAAACGGCATGGTGAATGTCCTCAGAGGTCGGGGAACAGGCCTCTTGAGTGAAAATCCTGTCCATTAATAAACCTCAGAATGCCCTTTCAAAATAGATAATCCAGTTTAAAACATTTTAGACGTTGGAAAGATGTAACATTTAATACTGAGGATAAAGTTTAAACAACATTTTGTACTAGCATAAACTAGCAGTGGTTTGGTTGACTAGTACCAAACAACGCTGGTGCATTTTGAAAGTCCTTCAAATGGAGTGTCAGCATGAAGTTTTCTGTTTCATAGAGGTCCGAGACAGCCTATATATAGCAAGGCTGGTGTTTCTACAGGGAATCTGAGTGTGCATTTTATAATGAAGGTATTTCCCTACCATTCGCTGTTATGGAGTATGAGAGCTGCTATTAGTCTGGGCTGGATAATTACAGGTAATGACTGTATAGAAAGAACAAGTCAGGGGCAACAAGAGATGCTTACAGCGTTTAAGAGAGGGAGACAATAGCAGCTTTTAAAGAAAGGTGAGGCGGTTACACGACCTGCTGCCTTGTGGGAACCCTGGGGACAACCTTTTCTCACCCACCTGTCATTATTTTACATTAACTTCATTCATCTCTGCCTTCGGATACAATAACACAGCAGTTCAGCACGCTGGTTGTGTGCAGCTTGGAACACAATGACAATGAAAATAGTGAGTGTGCTTAAACTCAGTGTTGAACTTTGTTAGCTATATTGGAAGTACATTGGCAGATACCTTGGGGTCCTTCATATCTGAAATGTAACATTAAGTTTTACGGATGGATAGCAATGTTACGCATACAGTAGCAAACTTACAGTGGTTTCTAATAGAATATGTCATTAGCATGTTGCTAAGCTAATCATTTGATACACTTTCACCACAGATGTTGGGTGAAATTACTTTTTTGTATCTATAGTTTTCATATGAACATCTAAATGAAGGGTTTCATGTCTGAATTGATGCGTTGGATTCATAGTGAGTTTGCGGTATGTGTGTATTCTTAGCACAACTTTCATTCTGTTTTTCTGATCTCTTGTGTCTTCTTCCCTCAGATGAACCGTTTCACATATGTTGGCTTTTAGACTGCCAGCTGACAGTCTGCTTGGCAGTCTGTAGCTCAAAAAACAGATTGTATGTGCCTAGAGTTGGATATTGTGTCACCCTAGAATGCCCATCACCTTTGACCTCTCAGAAAACCAGTTGATATTCAATTTGTGCAGCATTTTAAGGCATCATGTCTGCGTTCTTAGTATAATCGTAATATATGTTGTTTTAGTCAGATTTATGTGTCATTTGCAGAGATCTCTGAAGGCATTTCACCAATCTTTGTGAAAAATACACTACTGTTCAAAAGTTTAGGGTTAGTATGATTTGTATTTTTTTCTTTTCTTGAGAGTTTGAGAGAGAAATTAATATTTTTAGTCAGGAAGGATGCATTAAATTGATCAAAAGTTACATTTATATTGTTCCAAAGTTTTCTATTTCATTTAAATGTTGTTCCTTTGAACTTATATTCATCAATATTTAATATTCATTTTAACCAATCAAAAAATCGATTGAGATTCGGGAACCTCTCTGATTGGTGGATTTTATATCAGGTTCTGGCGGGGACACAATACACACAACTCTACTAAATAAAGACCCCAAATGTTGCTAAAAACTGTTATCAGCCTATATTATCGGTAAGAATGCTTCCTTAAAAGGCTGTGAGGTGTATCACTGGGTTTTGGAACTAAGTGATGATGTTCTTAAGTTCTAAATTGAGAGAAGATTCTAAAACACTTCTATGTTGCAACATTCTGAGGATTCGGATATTGAGAACCACTGTAACTCAAAGCACAGCCCACCTCTGTGCTTAATGCTAGTCAGTAAGGTGTAGGATAATTACTCTGTGCAGTGTGTGGAGTCATATCATCAGAGAGAATTAAAGCTCTCATGTTCTTTGCGGGTGGGCAGCTGCAGCCTGATTCCTGACATATAATTATACTCTGTGATCTCTCCATATTGTGATGTGTTCTCTGTCATGCCGATATTTGAGCTTTTTTGATTGCAGAAGTGGTGATTATGGCTCCTTTCTGCCTCTACTCGCAACAAATTTTTTTTTTTACATTACATTTGTGGACACATTTGCCTTTATCTAAATGGACTTGCATCAGTTGCATGCATTCCCTGGGAATGTTAACTCCATCTACTTTCTGAGCTACGGGAATGAAGGTTCCACTCATGAAGTCATTCGTTTAATTGAATGGTATTATTTATTTTTTGTTTGCAGCTACACTATGTGTGATAGCCTTTGTCCCTCAGAAGAAGGAGATTTTGTTTTATTTTTTAAAAAGCACTTTTGAATATTTTTCTTTATTATTATTATTGAGGACTATCTATTTTTCCTCCCTCTTTAGAACAATTTGAAATTAAAAATTGTACATTAGAGTTGGAAAGTGTCTCATTTGCCATCCAAATTAAATGGTAATTTGTAATTTGTTCGATCGCTATGTATTTATGTGTGTGTGTGCACGTGAGGTTGTATGCTTTTGTTGGTCAAGGCTTCTTCCCTTATGTTTTTTTGTGTGGCTGGTAAATGGTCTAAACTACTGTTCAAACCATAGACTGTAAAAAAATGGACAAAGCGTCTGTGACGTCACTAATAGACTTTCTGAATAACGGTTTTGGGGCCGTTTATGGGGGGTATGGGAGGCGCCATCTTTTGAAAATCTTGGGAAATTCTAACCCCGCCCACCTTTTGGCCAATCCATACATGGGTAAAAGGGCGGGTTTTGTAAACGATCTTGTAACGTTACAAGATCCACTGGCAGACTACTTTTTACAGTCTATGGCAACTACATTCACTGCAAAGCTGCTGAATAACACTCCAATGTGGGACATATCAGTCTATTCTTATGTTACTTTATTCATTTGGCAAACACATTTACAGTATTTCAGAAGTCCGTTATAATCGGTTATAACTAGAGGCATGGGCGTAATTTGCGGGCGGGATGGGTGGTATTGTCCCCACCAATTTTGATGCATTAAATTGATCAAATGTGACGGTGACATTTATTCTGTTTCTGTTTATTCAAAATTCAGTTTCTTTGAAGTTAAGCAGCACAACTGTCTTCAACATTGATAAAAATAAGAGTTCTTAAGCACCAACCCAACATATGAGAATGATTTCTGAAGGATCATGTCACGATAAAGACTGGAGTAATGGTACTGAAAATTGAATTTTGCCATTACAGAAATTACATTTTAAAATGCTATAAAAACACCCATGTTAAATTGTAATATGCTGTGATATTAGATCAGTGGGCATTACTGTTTTTACTGTTTGTTTGATCAAATAAATGCAGCCTTAATGATTATCAGAGACCAACCCCAAACTTTTGAACTCTAGTATAATTATTTAAATGGTTCAGCCTAACTGACTGTGATTGGGTTGTTCACAGTTGGGCTCCTGTGTGTGTGTATGTGTACTTACAGAACAGGCCTCCGGCGGTACAGGGCTCGCAGCACCAAAGCCAATCTCCAGCATGTATGAATCCTGCCCTGATGAACTCCCCCTGGGTGAGACAGAAAGACAGGGCCCGCTCCGTACCGAATCCTCACTGTTTGTCAAGAACTAATGTGCTGCACTGTTATGTCTTCATTTTACACATTTTCAGTGTTGTTGTTTTTTTAGCTCAACTGAAACGGATGAGCATCCTGCTTTGACCGCATGCAGAGCAAACTATTTTGAACTTTTCTCTCTAGATTGGAGCATGTCAGCACCAGCGCTTTGCTTTATCATTGTGTGTGCATGAGGTTGCTCACAGAAAATGTTAATCTTCATCATGCATCATGATTTCATGTCCTTTTCAATTCTTCAAATAACGAATTATGGGAGCTTTTTAGCTTGTTCATCTCACAGGGCACAAACCTCATTGGCTGAAGGTCATGTTTTAAATTGTGTTTCTCACAGTGGATTGTGGGTTTTCTTTCTGCCTTTTCTCATTTGCTCTGCTTTCCTCTGTTTCCCCATCTGTTCCTCTTACTTTTCCTGTATACAGTACCGGTATCAGGATGAAGATTCCCCTCCCCTGGAACACAACTTCCCGCGGCTCACCAATGAAGTTCGAGCGCCGGAGCTGGTGCACGTGTCGGAGAAGAACCTATCAGAAATCGAGAATGTGCACGGCTATGTTTCCCACTCTCACATTTCACCGCTTAAGGTAAGTCATCATTTTTCAGGCCATCCAAGGAATAACATGACACCCCTCTTCACATTGGTGTCTTTCTCCTCCTCTCTCTTTTCATTGTGTTGATCTGGTTGCCTCTTTATGAGTGTTTCATTTTCCATGTCACGTTTTCATTCCTCACTCATATAGTCATGTAAAAAAGATCTAAAGAAATGATTACTTTTACAGATTTGTTGAAGAGTTTGACTTCATTTAGACATTATTAGATAAGTGCTGTGCTTTAGGTAATGGGTTAGTGTTCATTATAGTGGTAGCGACGTGCTCGTGCTGTGAACAAATGTTTGATAAAAATGATTAAGTAATATTTTGTGGAGGGATCTTTAAGTTGTGAAAGCACAAGAGGATGTAATCAGAATTGTATTGTTGTAAAATGACTTCTCAACACTAGATGGGGCTCAGTTACTAGTTTTACAGCAGGCTGAATTATAGCGCGGGCAGTTTTATTCTCTGATTAGTCATGAATGATATTAAAATAGGTATCTTATTTTGTGGCGTGTTTGTCCTGCTGCAGCAAAATCATCAGTAATAATTATTAATATATATTGAATTTTAGGTGACAAATCTCTGTTTCAGATTATACACACTAATCCCATGATTACAAACCATCTAGTATGATTACAAATCATTCTGATATGTTGATTTGGTGCTTAAGAAGTGTTTCTTAGTATTATCAATGTTGAAAATAGTTGTGCTGCTTAATATTTTTGTGGAAACATCCGTAATATATATTTTTTTAAATTTAAAATTGAATATTAAGTCCAAAAGAACAGCATTTGAAATGGTATTTGTTTGTTTTGTAACAATGTAAAAATCTTAACTGTCACTTCTTATAATTTTAATGGATTTCAATAAAAAAAAAAATCTTACTAACCTTAAAACTTTTGAACAGTAGTAAATATTTTTGGTATTTAAAATGATTTAATTAATTAAATAATTTTACTGCATTGACAATTGTGTATCAATTCATTGGATAATTGATAATGTTCCATCATCACACATAGATTATCAAATAGTTGTCTCACAAAAAACAAACAAAGATTGGATTTGTGCCCCTGTGCCTTTAAAAAAAAAAAAAAAAAGTGTACTGTTTTCATGAAAAATGCCAGATAAAGAACACATTTCTTTATTCCACAATTGAAAGCTTTTGTTGCTGTTTTTCTGTGATCAGATATGACCCTGCTGGAGTCACGCTCTCTGCCAGAGCGACATTAACAGCCTGTGCCTCATCTGATTGTCTGCAGATGATTCAAAAGCTCTGCTTTTATTTGATCTGAGGGACTGTATGATTGTATCCAGTCCAGAGTGTATAGACCTGTCTGAAGCATTAGGCTCATCAGAATTCTGCGCTGTCATCTCTTGTGCAGACAGTGTTTTAAGATCTCATTCTTTCTGTTTTGCCAACAGTCATTTCTCCCCCAGTCACATAACAACCTCAGTCTACCGGCGTGATTTCTCAGAGTTGAATACACTCAGGTGCAGGATATTATAAAAAAAAATAAATAAATAAAAAATCACTGACTTATTCCTCTCACTTCCTGTTCCACAGAGCCAGGTGAAAGCACTGTTAGACACAAGACGTGTTCTTATGTTCAATCTGGGCTATTTTTAAGTAGTTGATGTATGCACGCATACATCAGCCAGACATCTTTAGTCGCATCTTGCTGGTTGTTCAGCAGCTTGCGCCATGAGCATTGCAATTTTAAAGGGGTCATATAATGCTACATGCACTTTTACAAGTTGATTGTACTGAAATGTGTGTTGGCAGTGCCTGTACACAAGCTTCACATATTGATAAAAATCCATCCAATGTTAATGTTTTCCCCTGCTATAAATTGAGCCGTTCATTTTTGTGACGTCAATAAAACGGACGCCCCTCCCACGATTGTTGATTGACAGCAGCGTTCGCCATTGTTGATTCGCTGGAGCAGAATGACGTCTAAGCGATTGTGGTGTTCTGTTCTTGGGTCACAGTCATTTAGATCTTCCTAAATCTGAACCTCTGAAGACACAGTGGCGGAGTTTTGTTTGGGAATATTCCCAACGATCAACGTCAATGCTTTCATGATTGCGCGAATCATTTCACACCACACTGCTTTATAAACGAGGATCAGTATAAAGCTGGTTTGGCTAAGAAGCTGCTCCTGAAAAAATAATCGCTACCAACTATTCATGTTCCTGCTGCACCTCCAGAAGAAGTGTGTAAAATTTGATTAACCTTTATATTAATCTTTGCAAATTGCGAAGAAAAGTTTTTCATGACCGTTAGTTATAACGTCAGCGTAAACATCAGTAAACATACCATTCGTATCTCACTACTCTACCCTGCCAGTACACAAAAATAGATCAAAGTGACATTACGTTAACCAACCATTCAGAAACGTCTTGTTCAAGCCTTAATTGTCGAACTTCTTTGCGGCCGCCATCTTGTTCCGGGTCCAACTCCGGTTCAAACTGATACGGTTGCACAGATGTGTCCTCAGAGACTCCCCTGGCCATTCTCTCTCCAAAAATATACCCTCAACTGTTGTCAAGGCAACACTCCACGTGTGTTGTGTCAAAACGCCGGCAGAACAGAGGGGCGGAGTCAGCGAATCTCATTATCATTTAAAGGCATATGCACTGAAACGGCAATCTTTTTGACCAGGTAAAATTGGTTTTTTCTTACAATACTAATGAGAATTTTTAATTAAAGTATATTACAAACTTTTAATTTAGACCCTATAGAATCATATTAACTTGTACAAAAATGGCATTATATGACCCCTTTAAGATGGCGTGTCAAGTTAAAAGCAGTTCAACTTTTAAAAAAGCATCTCCATGCATTTTCTTTATTCTCCGTCCAGCTGTTTTTGAAAGCAAGTGTGCAGTGTTAACTGCCTTTTAAAATTGCTTTTACCAGTGGTGTGTATCTATGGTCGTGAGGGTTGTCTCAGAGCCAAAATAACCTTAAAATCAAAGCCTCATCCTACCATCTTTTTTCTTTCTTCTTCTCATAGTTCATGCAGTATTTCTGTGTCTTCTTCTGTATCTCTCATCTTGTCTCTTCAGCCTCTCTCTTCCTTCCCTGAGTGCAGCCGACTTGCTGGTGACTCTCTTTTGTGTTTTCTCACCTGCAGCCTGCGCTGGTTACCCGGTTTGATCTAACATACCCAGGGGTGACCGCAGCAAACTACCTGGCAAGTTTGTGATCTTTATTTTGAATGTGTCTTTTCCCCCCGTTATTTTGTTGTTGTTGTCGTCGTCGTTGTCGTGGTGGTTGTTGTTGTGGTTCATCCGTACTCAGGAACATTACGTGTGTGCCAATGTTCTGAACCGTTTTGACATCATCATGAAATTCTTCAGAGGGTCTGAATAACAGACAAACAGAACCTCCCTTTGAAGAAAGCCATTTGTGCAGTGAAATCACATTTATTTTCAACAAATATGGTTTACGCAAATGAAATCAGATTATGGCATAGTCGTCTTTTTGATTATTTTACCTGTGATGTTTGTTTTGTGGTAAATATGTCATTCTGTGTGATTGCTGCTGATTTTTTTACGTTCATTGCATATGAGGTACACAGACCTTTTGAAAGAAGTCTTTGTGGGGTTGTTAGTGTATGTGTGTAGGTGTGTGTGAATGTGAATGTGAAAGATCTTCCTGTTCTTCCACTTCCATTTAGTAATTATTCAAAGTCTGTATGGCAGGTACAGTTTGTGTCACACTTCTGGCATCACCCTGTCTTATCAGGCCTTCAGGACTACTTGTATGCACACATACATAAGAAAACACACACTTACTCAGACACACACTTCAACCATTCTCTCTGCCTCTTCAGTCTGTTAGTTGTGCAAATGTTACGGCCTCAGCAGACCGTCACCATGACAGCCCGTCCTCTCAAAGTCTCCCCGCTCACGCCAGGGATGTCCATCGAAAATTAGCTTACAGCTTCAGTGTGTAGATCTGTCACACCTCAGGATTGAATGAGGTACCTGAGAGAAACAAAAATGCTAGCAGACATTCCTGCATCAATTTCAAGGTTATACAACTTAATATATTATTATTTGATAAATTGTACTTTTTAATTTGAAAGATTATTTTAAAAACAAATTTGTAATTTATTTCAGACGCAAATAATACTGTTTTTAAGTTATTGATATATTTTAAATATTTTGAATCATTTATTTAATTTATAATTTAATATAAATTGTAAAACAAAAATTATATTATTAAATATTATTCAATAATATAATACTACTAATTAAATATTTTTAATTAAATGCTGTATTTTAATTTATTCAGTATATTTTAAATATTTGTAATGTATTTAATATTTTATGTGTATATGAAGAGTTCAGATGCAAAAGCCTCTAAATGCCATTTGAAATTTTCTTCTTTAATGATGATTTTTATCAAACTTGTATATTTAAGTTCAGTAATTTCACTTAAATAACAATTAATAGGTAATTATCATTGCCATTTAAGTGAAATTACTGAACTTAAATATACAAGTTTGATAAAAAATCGTTCAAAATATATATTCATATATATATATATATATATATATATATATTCAGATTTTTGAATTATCCATCTCTAAATTGTGGTTGGTTGTTTTACATGTTGAGCAGATGTGTGCAATTCTTGACCAGAATAAGTTTGGGACCAGATTTTGTCAACGGTCAGGGTCTGTCTCCATTAGACTAATAGAAGCTCTCAGTCTTGATGCACTCTATTCAACAGCCAAACTTGTTGATTAAATCGACTTTCTCTGCATGTATATTCTAGCCTTGCTGTCCCCTCGTGGCTCGGAGAGAGTGAGCGCGAGACTTTTGTGCCAAGAGGTGAGCGAAGAAATGTAGCTCCATTACTCTCCCTGAATCACTGTAGGGCTAAACATCGTGAATCAGCTTGTACAGCCACCGCCTGTTTTCAGTCCTCCTACTGAAAAGCTGCTTTAACAGAAAGCACTAATTGTACCGCTGCAAAAGACAAGCGTCTCGGAAGCTTGACAGTCAGATTGCATGATATCGATCCTCAAGCCGTGTTATTGAATAACATAACAACCAGAAAGGACACGCACCTTCCAGTTGAGATATTAGCCATCCACTAGTTGAGAAGGCGAGCAAACATCTGTGGTTTTAATGAGCAGAGCTCGGCAGGGGGGAGGCATGATATTTATTAGCAGAATCCGTGTGATTGGAGAGTTCTTTTCTTCCTGAGAGAGAGAGAGAGAGAGAGCATCTCAGAAAAGTAGTGAGAGACAGCAAAGGCTCTGGGTTAATGGTGATTGTTTGGTTATCTCTCCTCCCTGGTGAAATGATTACTTCAGAGTCAGGGCTCTGTGTGTGCCCAGGTCGGGGTAAAGGACCGGGCTTGATTGTCTGGGAGATGAGCCTTGGGTGGAATTAGAGATCAGGCAATTACCTCGAAAAGAAAAGAGGAGAGAGGAGGAGGTGGAAGGTGAAGGAAAGAACTAAAAAAAAAAAAAAGGAAAGGAGAGTTGTGGAAAGACCTCAAATCATTAAATAATCGCAAGATTGGTTACTTTTAAATCCGTATCAAAATAATTTAGCCAGCCTACCAACAGGAAGAAATATGTTAAAGGGATAGTTCACTTTGAAATTAATTTTTGGTATGTTTTAGCTGACCTCATGGGCATCCACAATGTAGGTGTCTTCCAAGTGATCTTGTGGCTGTGGTTACAAGTTGTTTTCTCACACAAACCGCTCATTTCGTGTCTTAGGCCATCAATGTGTACTTACATTTATGAGTCATTAAATCATGTTTAATTTGGACTTCTCTGTGCATACTCTTTGAGGTGGTGACCATAGATCTACATTATATGACTGACAAGAAAGGTTTGACCAAAAAATATCAAAATTGAAACTACTGCGGAAACAAAAACACCTACATCTTGGATGCCCTTGAGGTAAGCTAAAACATACCAAAAATTAATTTCAAAGTGAACTATCCCTTTAGAGTACTTTTAGAAGTGTTTCTTTGGACAAGGGTCTCAATTTTTAACACTCATCTCATACATCCCCCAAATTAAACATTGTTGCAAAAAGTTTGACTAAAAAGGTCCATTATCTATTGTCAATAGTGTAGAAATTTCACACAGCATCAGCATTATTTTAGTATTAGCCTATGTGTATACTATTATAGTATTTATTTATATTTTGAAAATCGACATAGCGTTGCCGTACCTCTCACAACAGCCGTATCTCTATTCATATTCAGCATGAGTGGAACTATTTCTCAACAAGTGCAGAATACCAGCCACAGACAGGCATTATTTTCCCAGCACTTGTAACGTGAAATCAAGGAGTTTAAATTTGCTCCATTAGCATAGTAATTGTTTTCAGGTCTTCTCATTTTTGTCACATCACTTTAACTAAAGCGGTTATGTCTGTCCTGAAGCATGAGCTTAATGAAATCGGCTCCGGGGTCTTATCTTTTTTTTTTTTTTTTTTTTTAGATGAACTCATTAGTCTGTTCATAGACTGTTTTGTTTTGAAGGGGTTTTAGGAGTCAGGTCTTGTGATTGTAATGTCATTGGGTGGATGAAGTAGATGAAGGTAGGTGTAGTTACAAAATAGTAAAGATTTTATTACAATAAGTAAATACCCAAACAAACAGAACAGTGTGCTAGTGCACAAACAATAACCAGGAACTTAAATACACAGATAATGACAAGGACAACATGGACATAAAGAAACATAAAGAAAGACATGGACATCTTGGATGACATGGGGGTCATTTAAATTCCTTTAAATGAAATGTGGAACTTCCTTATCTACAGTGTATTCACTGCATTGATACTTATGTTTCCTTCTCTTATAATACATCTGTCAAAAAAGTTACATATTTAACCCGTGAGAAGGTGTAGTGTTTTGTCAAGGCAAAAGTATCTTGTTGTTCGTTAGCTTTCTTTCTTTCACACAAATGCTGAGCAAGGTCATTATTAACCAAAGCAAACATGGTGATATGAATACTAAACTGTCTCGATAATTGCAGATTAAGGATTATAAAAGAGAACATATCTAGGCGCCCTGATCTGTCCTCGCATACTGTTTGAAATGCATCCTTCGAGCCAAATGCAGTTTTCAAAATAATACGAGTTTTTTTAATGGTGATGAAATGTCTGTTTGGGGCAAATCAATGTTGAAAAATTAGTATTTTGAACTTGACTGTCGCTATGTGACTACACTGATTTGTCTCAGTTACTGTAGCAAATCTCAGGATTGATGTTTTATAGACAGGAGGACACATGCTATTGTGTCCTCACATCTTAAAGTTTGTATGCAGTCAGATCGTGGCAGTTGCCTGGTAACAGATGTGCCCGACTGAAATGTTTTTAATAATCAGACCCACGCTTGAGTCTGACCTTGTTATTGTGTGTGTGCGTTGGTGTGTCTGTGTGTGACCTTCACCCTGTATCTCTAATGAGTGTAAGTAGCTCTAACAGGGTTATGCTGCACTGCAAGTGCTAAACGACAGAGAGAATGTGAAGTGTGTTTTACTGACAGGTTTTCGGAAACCTTCAGGACCCGACGCACAGCACATGTTTATGTTGTTTCTGTTCAGCTGATTATATGTCTGCCCACCATGTCATCCTTTTTGAGGTAAAAAAAGATACCTTGCTATTTTTCAGAGTAACAGCTACCTTTTCATATGTGTTGATCACATGCTGCATGCCATAATGACTTTTTGAAATGACAAAATTCACCCAGATATATACATTTATGCCAGGGTCGGACACATAATAAAAGATCCTCCGCATGCAATCGCACTAGATCTTAGAGCAATTGCCAAAGTCTCAATAGCGATTGCAAACAGCCTTGTCTAGTCCCGCGACCAAGGGAGAAATACTCAGAGGAGTTATTGTTTGTTTGTACACAGGCCAAGGGAGATGTCTATAAGAGCCTAATCCAAGCTATAAATTGGTCGGGAAAACCAAATTTCCTCAATGTGTAAAACAAATAGTGCCACTCGATTCTATCAAATGCCTCCTTAGCATCCATGGAAATAACTAATTCTGGAGATTCATACAAAGAATAAGAGTAAAGAATATTCAAAAGGAGCCTAATCGCCCAGATATTTTAGAGAGATTTGTTTAATCCTGACCTCAGTGTTAATTAAATAAAAAGTATAATAATAACCTAGTCACATTTGGGCTAAACGAACACTTTA